TTGGCTTCTTCAGGGCTGAAAAGAATAAATTATAATTAGCTACCATATATTATCTATTAAAAGACATTATTTACCTTACCGTAACTTTTAGAAATGTCGAGTTAGGATGTTAAAAAGCTAGTAGCAACATAGTGGTGTTTCTTGTTACTATGTGCAAAAAAAGTTATTTTAACGATTAAAATGTATGGTAGCTTTGAACTTAAAACGCAAAGGTTTACCCAAGGTTAATCGAGAAACCCAATGTAACTACATTTAAAAGGAAGTAATTCTTTGAATTGTCGGCAATAACTAAATTTTTGATTGTTATAAAGTTTAAATGTGAGGTTCTGTTTTCTCAGAACGCATGTGTAGATAATTGCAAGTAGTTCTTTTAATCTTTATGTCGTTAAGGTTCATTGGTAAAACCGATGAAGTTAAATTGAAATTAAAGTGAATTTTCTTAATTGAAATTCTTTTTTTAATTATAGTATATTGTTCATGTATTATTCTAATAATACATATCAATAAGATATTAAGATCTAATAAGATACTTAAGTATCTATATAAGATACTCTCTTGATGTGGCTTTCCTTCTCCATTCTATTCGCTTGATTTCCATTAAATATCAGCTGGAAATGTTTCCCCTATCTTTCCATTATGTATTATCGTCGTTTATTATTGTTCCTTCCTTGTTCATTATTTGTTTCAGTTTCGTTTCTTTGTTGCTTTTTAGGTTTTTCACTGTTCTATAAAATAATTTTACGTTTTCTGTGCTATTTTCTTTTATTTTTTCTCCGAATATTTTTTTTTCTCTTTCTTAACTATCTCTTTAACTTTTGTTCTTTGTCTATTATAATTTTCATATTTTTGTTGTGTTTTGTCTTGTATGTATTCTTTCCATAATTTCTTCTTTTCTTTTATTTCTCTTTTCGCTTAATCGTTCCACCAAGATGTTCATTTCCCTCTGTTGTTATTTCTTGTAGTTCCACATATTGATTTAGCTGTTTTTATCATCTTATTGTTAAATTTTCCCTATTCTTCTTCTATTGTTTTTTTTACTTCATGTTTATTATCCATCTCTTTCTCTAGCCCTTCTGAGTATCTTATTTTCGTTGTTTCTTCCCTTAGTTTATAAATTTTTATTATTTCTTTGTGTTTTCTGTTTATGTTCTTATTTCTTTTTATTTCTTTTCTTTTGCTTTTGAATGTGGTTTCTAGTAGATAGTGGTCACTACCAATTTCATAACTCCTTTTCACCCTTCTCTTATCCAGTTCTTCTCTGTTTTTTTTCACTATAGTATAGTCTATAATTGATTGTTCGTCTCTTGATTTGACTTTTTTTGTGATCTTGTGTATCCTTTTATGTTGGAAGTGTGTGTTCATAATCACCAGCTTATTATCTAGACAGGATTCGAGTAGTAAGTTTCCATTTGTGTTTATTATTTCCTCCCCATAAGGTCCGATGACATTGTTCTATTTTTCTGCTTCTTTCCTAACTCTGATGTTTATGTCTCCCGTGATCACAATTTTCTCTGTACAATCATTTATCCCAGAACTGTAATTTGTCCCAGAACATTGTAATTTTTCCCAGAACTCATTCTTTTCGATTTTTGTTGCGTCTTCATCTGGTCCATAGCATATGATTAGGTTTGTATTGGTTTTCTTTGTAGCCATATCTATGTCTACTTTTAGTATACGTTCGTTGTAATATATCCAATTTTCTACTTTGTTGATACTGTCCTTCTTTATCATGCACGATACTCCTGCCTGAGCTCTTTTCGGTTCTTCCACTCCACTGTATATTATAATAGTAAAATTCCGTTTTCTAATATTATTGATCCTCTGTTGACATAAGTGAATGCATAGCCAGGGTTCAGTGAATGTTTTTAATTTTTGAAAATAAATAAAAAAAAACTTAAGGGTAATGTTTTTAATAAATATTAATAAAAATGCCATATTAATTAATATGGGAACTCACCAAAAGATGCAGAGTATAATTTGTTTATGGAAATTGACTAATCGACTGCACTACGGTATTAAACTGCAAATTCCATAGTGGCTTCCATAGGCTAACTGATATAAAATATATAAATAATATACAAATATATATATATATATTAAATATATATATATATATATATATATATATATATATATATATATATATTGTTATGATATGTAAAATCGAGAGAAATATTGGTTTGCTTAAAATATTTTGCCATTATCTTTTGGATTACAAAGATATGCATAAATTATCATTTTTGTTTAAAATATATTTGAGTGACGTGACGAGCTTAAGTGAAATTCTAGACAATGGAAGCGGGTTTTCCAAATAAATTTGTGCAGTAATTAGGACAATAGAATAGATTTTAGAAAGATATGTTTTTGTTAGTTCATAAGAATTGGTAGAAAAAGATTAGTTTGTAAATAAGTTTTAGGAAATTTTATAATTGTAGGTAAAAATTTGTTTGTGTTATCGAAATGAAGAAATGGGAGATGTATAACGCGTTTTGATTGGATGAGAGTGAAAAAGGTGGGATGGTTGGTTTGAGAATGAGACTTTAGTTAGTTTTGGAAAAAAAAAGATAGTCAGTTGGTTTCCAAGGGTGCAAGGCGAACGGCCGTTGTTCTCGGGTAGTTTCCCAGAGGTAGGAAGCAGTAGCAGTGAAAGTTTGTGAGTTTTCGTGTAGTTAGTGTATCTGACAGAAGCTAATCCAGTAAAAGATTGTAAGTCATATTTTTCTACTTATATTCCAAGAGTCACTGTTCAGGCCAACGAGAGATTCAGTTTATCGTAAAGAGAAGATATTCCAAGAGTCAGTTTTCACTTAGGCCAACGAGAGATTTAGTTTATCGAGAGGAGAAGAGCTAGCATAATTTGAACGATTCGTGCATTTGAAGGAGATCATTAAGGACGATAAACTTACAACAATTTGTTGTAAGATTGCTGATTACCTAGGGAGCTGCTAAGAATAGATAGTGTAAGCTACAAAGAATAAGGATTTGGACCACTCATCATCATAGAGAAATAGTTTTGTTTTTCTGCAGTTTTTCTTTTATTGATCACACAATTTTTACAATTACTTTAGAAAAGATATAAATATTTTGATTAGGAGATTTAGAATAATAATTGGGATTTTGAGATTGTAACTAATATTGTTTGTACCATTAATTTTGAAGGTTCACGTACGTAGAACAAAATTTTGAGAATCATTATATGAGATATTGTTTATTGAAAACATTTGAGTGTGAATTTTATTTCATTATTTTTATTTCAATATATAATGTTATATCATATGTGTTTTTTATTATTCCGGTATTCTTTGGACCTTACCTTTCACATGTAAAGCATTAGATATTGAAGCACGAATATAACCCTGAGATAAGAGAATTAAAAAGTGTGATAGAATCATAATCATATCGTTTAAATAATTTTAATTAATTAACTAATTAGCTAATTAATTGCTTGGCGCACTAAGACTTTCAATATCACAATAATATATTATATATATATATATATATATATATATATATATATATATATATGTGTTTGTTTGTTTTGAGGTTTCCGCGTGAACTATATGTGCTGTCACTATTTTTCCGGGTTTGACTCCGCGTTGTGACTCCGCGTGTTCACAACGCGGAGTCAAACCCGGAAAAAATAGTGACAGCATATATATTATATATATATATATATATATATATATATATATACATATGTGTGTTTGTATGTGTGTGTGTGTGTGTGCAATAGTTCAAAAGTTTACGATTTTAGCAAAAGCTTTGGCTATCGCTATGATGAATTGAAAAGTCATATATTATATGACGCAAGAGCACAATTCCTCAAACATGTTATGTATGATTCGGCATCTGTAGGATCTTAACGTTATTTCAATATAGCCCTGCCTCGTTAGAGTTCCGGGAAAATACAAATTCACACAGCTAGCGAATGACCAGCCATCAACGCGAGGTGGATACGCCTTTTTATTTACTTCTTCCTGATATTGCAGTTGAAAAATAGCGTTCAGTCATTTTTAAATTTTTCAAGTACTATTTGACTCTGTTTTCTGTGGTAATATTAGATGGATTCGCAATAGTGATTCAGTAACGACTGTTTGTTATTCTTTCTTCTTAAAATATCCAACTTTTACTGCCATTATCAATCACAGATGTGTTTAAAATATTAAAAAATATATTTAAACATTAGTTTAAATGAACTGGCAACTACATCATAGGAAATCGACAAAAAACGCCTGACAGCTTGACGCCTGCTGTAACCTATTCTATCAAGTATAGCAAATACAACCTTGTAATAATTACTAATTGGGCGTGACATTTAGTTCCTTTATAGTTTATTAAAATAACAAAGTACCATTTTAGACTTTATCGATATCTAATTGACTACACCCACACTATTATCGGCGCCTAAGTATAAGATCATTATTGATTCAATGTCAGTGCTACCAACCTTTTACAATTGGAAAGTAATTTGTGTAATTTTAAAGTGACAATTGTGTAGGTTAATATTTATAGACTAACGAATAAGACTTCTACGTGAAATTACATATTTCAGGTTATATATCAAAAATGCAAAAAAAAAGAGATGCATAACTTCTTGAATGGAAACAATTTTCCAAATTACATAGGGGAAAGATGTGTGTGTTGTGTGTGTTGCATACGTATTGTGTATAATTCTAGATGCTATGTTTATTACTTCTTTTTTTATGTTTGTTTTGTATATTCTTGTTGTTTGCTTCTTCTTTTAGTATTGCAACCAAAGCCTGCTAAATTCTGCTAATAGATTTGCTATAAACTTTTCTTCGTTAAGTAGGATAAGAGCAGTTTCTTTGATTTTTATCTTGTTCATGTCATCTTGTTGTCTACATCCTCTAGAGATAGTTTTTCTAGACACATTTTTAAGTAAACTTAGAATCAATTTTTAATTTAGTTTTTGGCCCGTTTTTATACTAGGCACACAAGAATGACTTTTATTTGTAGAATAAATATTTTCTTTGTTTCAGGACCGAGCTCGTGATCCTTCCCAAAGACTCTCTGCTACGACCACGTTAACAGTGAATATCAAAGACGACGATGATCTTCCACCATCATTTATTTACAAAAACTGCATGCTTCTTGATGGTACTTGCATCAATCCTGAATATACAGCCTCAGTAAGTAAATATTTTCGTTTTATGTCATAATTATCTAAAATTACCAAGCAAGATAATTTTTAATTTGGGTAAGCTGCAGTATATTTCGCATATATTATTTATAGTAAAAACAGTGTTTACGTAAATTCAAATAGAAAATAATGAATGACATTTTGTCGACACGTTTATTAACATTTCCTATGCACTAGGAAAAGCACTTCTGCATTGACAAATACCCGGAAATATAAGAAAACATTTTGTTTCATCCGTGAAACCAACACCCTACTCACAATTGAAATTATTATTGTTATCGTTTGATTGTTAATGTTGTGCATTGTCGACGAGAAAGCTTAACATTCTTTAAAATCTACCTGCTCTATTATTTGTTAACTTATAAAACCCTTATCGGTATATATAGTGCATATGACCGGAGCCAGTAGCATTCAGAAGTGACAATAAAAATGTTCATAGCCGCATTCTCAGAGATGAACGATTTGTTCAGATGAATGCACATTGGAATTCTGCAACCGATGATAAATTCTCTATAACTGGAGGTATCTTATTTGACAGATTTATTTACGGGGCTGGTTTTAATGAGAATTCTCACGATTCTTTCGATGGTTTTTGAATAAAGGTATCGTTTATGGATTAAAGACAGGTGTCTATTAACTATGTAGGCGGTGCAAATCAATAAAAGGCGTTTAACATTAAATGTTTTGTCTTTATTATACTTTATTTCTTTGCAATTGGCAGCTCAATACAAATACAAATCTTCACTAATCACTATTTATTTATTTATTTATCGTATGGCTCAATACATGGAGTAAATACAGTAATAATATAAGATAATACAAACAGATAAGGTTATATCTTTAAGTCAAGTTGAGCTATCCATTCAAGGCTTGCAGGCGTAGTTTCGAAAAAGTCTTTTGGGTCCCCTTGATATGTCCTCAATTCATATGTCTCCACTATGTGTTGGATGGTTTGATCTGGAGCTCCACAGTCGCAGCTGGACAACACCATTTATGTAGGTTGTGTGCGCATACTGCATGTCCCGTTCTAATTCGGTTTAGGCTCTTCTGTTAGCTGTTGCTGTTCTTATGGGTGTGTTTTCTAGATGGGAGTCGGTTTGCTGCTAAACTCGGGATGTCTTCATGGATTAGTAGTTGCAAGGTGCTATTTACTTTCGAATGCTCCGTTATCAAGGCCTTTTGTCTTCGTAGAATAGGCGGAGAAATATAGCTAAGGATCGGAAGCCAATATAGTGGAGTAGTCTTGATGTAGCCGCTAATCATTCTCATTGCTATATTAAGCTGCGTATCAACTATTGTCACATGACGACTATTTAGCCAGACCGGTGCACAGTACTGTGCCACAGAATAGACCAAACTTAGCACAGATATTCGTAGTGTGTCCGCAGATGCGCCCCAGTTGGTACCACAAAGATTCCGAATAAGGTTATTTCTACTACTTATTTTTTGTTAAGTTATTTGTAGATGTTTTATAAACGAGAGAGTCCTGTACAAGGTAACTCCCAGATATTTTGGGTAGGGTTGGTAAGGTAGTGCTACATTTCTCATTTTGGCCTCTAATTTTTGGTTTGCCTGTTTGTTTATTGGGGTGAAAACAGCATACCTCAGTTTTATTTAAGTTGGGTATCAGGCGCCATTTTGTGAAATATTCATATAGTTTGTTAAGGTCGTTTGTCAGCACGCTTTGAGTAATTTCAAACGGTTTGTGTTGTACTGCTATTGCTAGGTCGTCAGCGCAGCCAACTTTCTTCCATCCGTGCCAGGTAGATCCGATATATATAAGTTGAAAAGAATCGGAGCAAGGACTGATCTTTGGAGTAGTCCAATATTTAATTTCCTCTGTTTGCTTATGCCATTACCGTGGATTACCTGGAAGTATCGATCAGAGAGTATGTTGTATATTAGTTGCAAATATTCTTTGGCATGAGATTAGTTTGGTTAGTTTATAAAAAAGATGCAGAGAAAATGGACGTGGTTAAGCCCAGATGGCAAAGTAAAAAATGAAATTGACTTTATACTCTCTAACTTCAAAAACATTGCTAAAGATCTTACTGTACTAAACTCTTTCAACACTGGTAGTGATCATCGATTAGTTAGGACGCGAATAGAAATAAATACGAAATTAGATAGAAGAAAATTATTAACACAGGATAAATTACCAAACATAGAAGCACTCGAAATGAATCAAGAGGAATATCAAAGTGAACTAAAAAAGAAACTAGGACCTCTACCAGTATTCAACACGAAAGATATAAATGAAATAACACAAAAATTAACGAATGACATAACATCAACTGCAAAAAAGATCTGTGATAAAAATAAAAATCCCAGAAAAACGAAACTGAAACAAACAACACTTAATTTAATGGAAGAAAGAAGAAGAACATCGAAAGAATTACCAGAGTATAAGCTATCAACAATAAAGTTAAAAAGAACATAAGGTCAGACTTGCGGCTTATAAAACAAAACAAATATTGCAAACCATCGAAAACAATCGAAACATGAGAGTATTGAAATCAAATTTAACTAAAGGAAAATCAAAGATAACTAAAATCAAAAATCAACAGGGGAATAGGGTGACCGAAAAAAACTCAAATAATCAAGGAAATACAAACGTTTTATAAAAATCTTTATACATCTACTATACAGAACCCGAAACACACCACAGAACAATTCTAAACGTCGGCTCGGAAACCCTCCTAAAATAACTTCTTCGGAAATTAGAGATGCCTTACAGCAAATGAAAAACAAAAAAGCTCCTGGTCGTATAACGTCTGAAATGTTAAAAATGGGCGGCAACATCGTTGTAGAAGTTGTGGAAGTCTTACTGAATAAGTGTCTAACAGAAAAAAGAACACCCAGCCTATGGGAAAACGCCGAAATAATACTTTTGCACAAGAAAGGAGACACTACTAATATTGAAAACTACAGACCTATAAGTTTGTTGTCACACTTATACAAATTGTTAACAAGAATAATAACCAACCGCATAACACAAAAACTTGATTTATATCAACCGGTTGAACAGGCGGGATTTAGAAAAGGGTTTGGTACTAATGATCACTTACAAATCATCAGAACACTACTAGAAAAAACCACAGAATATAATGTATCTTTACATATGGCATTTATCGACTTTCACAAGGCTTTCAATAGTATTGAGACTTGGTCCTTTTTGTCAGCCCTGAAGGATGCTCGAATAGACTCACGGTACACTACACTCATTAAAAACATTTATGAATAGGCCACATTCCACATCAAAATCAATGAAGACGAAAAAACTGAAAAAATGCGCCTTGATAAAGGTATTAGACAAGGTGATACTATTTCACCAAAGCTTTTTACCTTAGCATTGGAAAATGTATTCAAACAGCTTGACTGGGAGGAAAAAGGTCTAAACATTGATGGTGTACGTTTGAGTCATTTGAGGTTTGCGGATGACATAGTATTATTTAGTACAGATATCAAAGAACTGGAGCAAATGTTGAAGGAATTAAACCAGCAGTCAAATAAAATAGGTCTCAAAATGAACCTCAGAAAACAAAAATAATGAGTAATTTATAGACTAATCTTGTTATTGACAACGTCAGTCTTGAAAATGTAGACCACTATATATATATTATATATATATATATATATATATATATATATATATATATTATATATATATATTTATATTATATATATATATATATTATATATATATATATATCTTGGATATACCATTAAAATCGGCAAAGAAAATCAAATAGCCGAAATAAAAAGACGCATACAACTGTCTTGGGGAGCTTTCGGCAAATTAAGCTTTATTTTGAAGAATAAAGATATACCAATGTATCTAAAACGTAGAGTTTATGACAAATGTATCTTGCCTGTAACTACATATTTACTGGAGACCATAGCCTTCACAAAGAAAACCTTAGAGCAGCTCAGTATAACCAAAAAGCAATGGAGAGGGCCATGCTAGGGATTAGTTTGAGAGACAGGATTCGAAATAACGTCATTCGTGAAAGAACAAAAATTACTGATGTCTCAGAACGTATTGCAAGGCTCAAGTGGCAATGGGTCGGACACGTTGCCCGAGATAATCCCGAAAAATGGACACAAAGATTAACAAACTGGAGACCAAGAGAGAACAGGCGAGGAGTAGGCAGACCGCAGAAGAGGTGGACAGACGATATCAAACAAGTCGCGGGCAAGCAGTGGATGAGAATTGCCAAAAGTAGAAATCGATGGAAGCAAATGGAAGAGGCCTATATCCAGCAGTGGACGAACACAGGCTGAAGAAGAAGAAGAAGAAGAAGTTTATAGAGGAGTCTATTCTTTTATACTATGTCGTAGGCAGCTGTCAAATCCACAAAGACTACAGCCATCTTTAGTTGCTTTTGGAAGCCTGCTTCTATGGGACCTGATCATGGTTATATTTTCACTTGCAAATCCCCTATGGAAAGATGAGCGAAAACACGATAGAAAAACATTTTTAAAATAACTTTCAACTGCATTAATTGAACCGCACTCAAGGGAAAGACTACAAGTTACCAATTTGCCAACAACCCTACGTGTAAAAATTAGCGAAATATTAGGAGTTAATGTACATCAAAGAAATAATTTTGATGTTAGTTTGATTAAACAGGTTAGATGAAGGCTGCTTTTTGTTATTCGTTGATGAGGTTGTTCGTTGTGCCACACGCCATACTGTTTAGAACATCAAGCTAAATTATGTTATGTGTGTGAACCAAAGTTGAAATGCCTGGCTAAGAGTAAGAAATATAACAACATTTATGTTTTATTTTAGTTTAAAACGTTTTAAGAAGACAAGTTTTATTTCACTGGAATTTTGTTTAATTTCTTTGGTTATATCTCCATATTTTTAAAAAGTGTGATAAAAGCACTAGTTTATGTTTTTTCACGATTATCAGATCTAAGGAGAAATGTTTTTTTTTAATAAACATATTTTGAAACTAAGATATTGTTGTTTGTTGTTTTGTACTACATACCGCAGAAAAAAAATAAATACATAACATTTTATTACAAAAAAAACACAATTAGGGTGTTCGAGACCCCACTGTGCAGTCTACGTTAGATGAAAGAACTTTGCAACTGTGCTGTTCTAGGGTTAAATGTATATACATTAGAGACATTCTATAATTGAACTTCAATGACGATGTATTTTTATAATGAAACTTTTCTTGGACAACACCCATTAGTTACGTCACATCTTTCAAATGTCTTTAATTTGTGTGACAGTATCGTTATCCGTGATTTATTATTAAGACTGTAAACTCTAAAATAATTGAATACATCACTTATCCACAGGTATCTTAGAAAAACTCGCAGACGTTTATACAGCTTTCATTATTAAATAATTTTTATCGATTGACAACCTTCACCGGTCATTTATCTTTGGAAAGATTTTATGACTTGTCGCTATAAAACTGACTTAACGTGACAGAGAAATAAACAAAAAACACCTGAAACAGACCCGTATGCTTTTATAAAGGTATTAGAGGATTAAAATTTTAATGGGTCTTTATTTCATTTATAGTGAAAGGGAATATCAGGTAGAGTGTGCGTTTAAAGTCTGTCCCCATCCAACTGACTTTCTTAACCATAAAACTTAAATTAATACATGTCTAACTTAATCTCTAGCTTAGTAACATTACCCTTCCTGGATATATATTCTCCACGGCCATTTTTGAATCTTTTCATGTATATTCAAGATTCAAGTAATACATCTTTAGAAGTTTTTTTAAATAAAAGAACTGAAAATCTTCCACACAGCGCTTATCATCCTATTTTGTTCAATGCTTGCTTCATAAAGTGACCTGTAAAATATTACTGTGCAAAAAATCATATTTCTGGTTACAACTGCTTCTTTGTCCTTTTAAAGCATAAATTTCACATCAATCTGCCAGTGAAAACACCACACAACCAGTCAAAAAGCTGTTAAAAGATCTTTTAAAGCTGTTAAAGTCATATTTGTTTACAACTGGCAGCTCATTACAAATGCAAATCTTCAAATAGAGGTTAAAAGTTACCTCGAATGACAAAATAATTATTTGAAAACTGACAAATTGACACAACATTAAGAACAGTAAATTATATTACCTTCACCCGGCCCTATGTTTGAACAAAATCTTGCAAATATCTAGGTGTATTTTTAGTTCCAACTGATTTACGACTAGATTAAAACTCTCAATTTTCCAATTTAGGTTTATAATTATCATGAGGTACTTGAGTTACATGACTCAGCAGCTAATAGAAGAATATAACAAATGGGGTCTCGAAGTCAACATTAAGAAAACTGAACCCATGTGTAGTCTAGTTTCCTAAACTTACATCCCACCACTGTCTCAGATAACGAATAAGCTCCTTCGTTCACCTTGCCTTTCCGCTATCATTCGCCCATTCTCTCTGCCGGTATCACGGCTCCAATGGCATATAGAGCCTCATTTGAAACTGTCCTATATGTACTACCCTGAGGAGCATTCGCCTTTGCGAAGTCTTCATCACCTTAGCGCATTTCGCAGTGTTTAATATGCTACACCACACGGGGGCAACGTAGGTTACCACCGACGTTGCTCTGACTAGATGTATCTGAGCATGGAAAAGCCCGTGGAAATCTTGAAAATTCGTCAATGATTGTAAACATATAGAAATTTCTAGAAGAACTGAGTATTGGACCTTTAAAGTCAATGTTCAATCTTTTGAACGGAGCTGTTGATTTGATTAAATGTAAATCATCTTTTTTATAAAATCTGAATTTATTTTCTGCATAGATTGGACAAGAAGTAATTAATTGTTTAATTTCATCCATAGACTAACGTAAATTTCGAATTTGTATAAAAATAGTACATATGAGTAATCCCAGGATGCGAAAATTTGATTGTATTTGATATAACTTGTTTGTATTATTTATATTATTGCATATTCCTGATAGTGCATCAGCTGCATCATTTGCCATTCCTATACGATAAATAATATCATATTTAAAAACAAGAAAGCATCATTTTTTTATTGTTTATTTTACTTGTATGGTTTTAATTAAACATGTTAATGCTTTAACAAAGCATATGCTTCTTTTTCAATTGCAGAATGTTTTCGTTCAAAATCTGTGAGGGTACGTGAAAAAAAAAGCAACGGGTCTTCCAAATTGACTTCTAAGTTTCTAATTGATAAATTAGTTAAATCATTTCCCAACTACTCAAAAGCAAATACCAAGTTTGGACCTAGTGGAAATTTCTTTCTTCTATGGTTATAAATTTTCGTAGAGTTTTTTAAAATAATCTTTTTTAAGAAACGATTTATGTAGTGCCTATTGAAACGACAAGCAGTTAAAAATGTAATTTTTATTACAATCAATTGTGGTAGCTTACTTTTATATAAAGTAAGTTTCAGCACAATTTTAGTTGTTGTTTATTTAACTAATTGATTATTTATAATAAAGGTATCCAGCGGAATACTTCAAGGAGTACTTAATATTTCACCAGAGAAGATTCAAGCGGTGGATATGGATACAATCAATTCTCCAATTCAATACTCATTCGTCAGCGGTGTACCAGAAACCTATAGCAACTATTTTCGAATTGATTCAGAAACTGGACAAGTTCATCAAATTAAACCAGTGGATACATCGACGACAAAGAAGTTTAGCATTATAATTAAGGTAAGCCAATGATAAATATTTTCTAGTTTGCAGCTGTTGGAAAAATGATGCCTTTATACCTTATTTATGGATAAACATTAAGGGAGCTTGTAAGGGTACATGTTATTTCTATAATATTTCAAATTAATTTATTTCTTGCAATACATAAATTATACTAATCGCTTGTTTGGTAGACAATCGACGGGATATCTATACATACGTTAGAAAATATCTAGGTACTAGGAATTTTGTTTAATACAATTTATCTAAAATCAAATTAGTAAATCGATCAAGTCAATACGGCGTTGGTATCAACTTCTAATAGATTAAATCCACAACTTTCCGACTTGCATCATCATCTTCATCATCATTGATGGGTCCTGGTCTCCTCAAGAATTTCTCTTTAGTCATCCCTATCCATCGTCTTCCTTCACCAAGCACGTATTACCATTTTTCTTATGTCTTCATCGACATTTTCAAGAAACCTTGTTCTTGGTGTTCCTCTTCTTCTCTGACTAATAGGTCTATCAAGGAGCGTTTTTCTAGGTGGGTCATTTTTGTTCCATCCACATTACATACCTTGTCCACCTCATCTTAATATGTTTTACGATATCTATGGTATGTATGGTCTTTTCCACACTCTATTGTCATTCACTGCTCAATAGATTCGCCTTAGTACTTTTCTTTCGAAACATCCTAAAAGGTTATCATTACTTTTTGTAGACTTACACTACGAGAGACAATGTTGTATTTGAGTGTGCGGTAACTAGAGTAATACCTTCGAAGTACGTCAAGTATCTGGGAGATACTCTTCACCAGAGTAGGAGTTGGGGGAAAATTTGAGGAGGAGACTTGCACATCTATTCAGAACATGGCAGCGCTGCAGAGGATAATATCCAATATCGGTGAATCCAAATCCGAAAGGAGGAGAATGCTTCACGGTGTTGTGAAAACTATCGCCGTCTACGTGGCAATAGTCTGAAGTGAGGTGGAAGAAGTCTTGCTAGGTTTCTTTACATGTGAAAGGGCCAGATTAGTTTCAATCGGTCAGTGGCAGGAAAAGTAGGAGGCAACACGTGCTGTGGTAGAGTGAACTGTCAGTAATCCCGAACATTCCAAGCTGGGTGGCCTGTGGACATAGGCAGCTGAATTATTACCTGACGCACATGCTCACGAAGAGAGTAAGTTTGAAAGAGAGTGCAACTGCAGAATATTTGATTTCGTGAAAGAAATGGTTAGAGGAAATTATGAGGGATGAGTGTTGGTAAACATGGATTTATCAAAAAGCTGCTTTCTTTAAAAGAAGGACAGAAGAGGCAACAGAATTCTGAAACGATTGAGTAGTATCTTGGTGGGTTTCGGTTGCATGCAGAAATAGACATACAGGGGTTTGAAAGTCTTTTGAAAGTCTGAAAAAGTGGGAATAAATGTGTGGCAGGATGAAGTGTTAAAGGTATAACCCCCTCTGGCATCTGGTCCTGGCAGAAATTCGTTAGGGGTATTAGGAACAAAACACTACCTGGGTACGTCACAGGTGTCTGTATGCAGATTTTCTTTCTTCTCTTTAAATATGTAAAAAGGATATCTCTGTAGCGGTGTCCACGTTATTAGTGGAACTATCCTCATATAGGATATCCTACTAGGATATATAGAAGAAAACCAGCGATGCAATTTGCATGAAAAAATAAAACCTACAACGAAACTCTTTCTAACTTGCTGACTAAACCTTATTCTTCAAAAGATAAAACAGGGATGTGTCTTGTGTTAGCAACAGCACGCAGGAAACCCCAATTATTTTTCAGTTATTTACCTACCCTAGAGACGGGGTTACCTTTTTTTGAAACAGCTGTATATGGATATGCTGTGAATTGTCTGTTAAACAATTTATACATAACCTCAATAATGGATATAGTGACGTCAAACAGGATATAGGATTTTCAACGTTTTAAACTAGCCAACTATGACGCAAAAAATGAAACAATGATCATTTTCATTAACTGTGTACTTTACTAGACATATAGGAAAAGTGGGAAGTAAGCTTAACTATGCGAAAATAAAAATAATCAACAAAAGTAAAAGTTATTAAAAATTATTCAAGGGACACAATTATTAAAACAATATCGTAATTATTTTTAGACGAACAATTACATTTGGTCTAATAAAAAATAAGTCCATTGTTTACGTACATTTTCTGTGAAATTTAAAATTACCTTTACAAATTTTTATGTAGACATATCGGCAGATTTATCTATCTATTATCATACTTTCATTCGGAAACTGATCATATTGTTCTTTAATATATTAGAGTTAATACGTCATAGTGTTTAAGAAACGAGTAGATCTCACGATTTTCTTTCAGGTTTATAATTTATGATTTGTTACTGTGGGTAAACTATTTAACAATTACGTTAATACTCTTACGATGTTCCGTTTTGTCGAAAGCGCTGACCTTTTGACATTTCTACTGAGTTATGTAACTCATTTATTTAACCCTCAATATATTATATAGGGGAAATGTGCCTATGATGGTCCCCTTAAGAAAATAGCTTCATAATAATTTTAATTATTTACTTAGCAGACTTTAAATATGACCACATAACGTCTCGTTATTTGTACAATATAGCAAATGTTTCAAATTTTGCAGAAAAAGTGATGTTAAAAATTTATTCATAATTTACTAAAATCCTGTTAAGGGTACATCATGGGCATATATGCGCTCATGATGGACCCTTTGGTACGCCCATGATGGACTCGTTGCATTTTGTGTAAAATAATTAATTTACAATAAAACAAATTATTTTATTAAATCAAAAGACATTACAAACGATAAAAAATATTACACATGGTATTTTTAAGAATAAAAAAATTACGCGCACAATTCACACACAAATTGTTTATGTCGAGGATTTACATCTGCACATTCAATGTGACACCAATTCTTACACACTTGACAACGAATCCATTTTTCATTGGATCGTGAATGCGAAAATAGTTCGTTACAGTAGATGCAAGCTGCATCGTCCGAGTCGCCTTCTACAAAAGAGCATTCACAATCGTCTTCAGAACCACTTGTAGTTGAAACACGAACTTGCCTTTTCACTGTTCTGGCGTTCTTGTTTCCTTTTTTTTGCTTCTTTGTCTGCAATTTTTTGTTTTATATTTTCAATTTCTGGCGTTGAATTTAAATATCCTGTTTTACCCCGTTTTCTACCCCTTTTCTGCATTACTTGAGATACTGCAACTAAAGGAGGAGGACAAATATCTTCTACCGAGATGTTTAGAACTGACGATGATGTTGATTTCTAATCAGTGGGGCTTTTTGATAAACTTTCAATCGAAGAAACATTTTGGCTCCAATGTTCCGGTGGTGACTTCTGGTCAGAACATTCTGGCAGTGGGTTTTGTTTAGAATTTTCTCTATCTGTTGTTATAGACGGCAAAAATCGCCAATCCTCGAAGACATCTGGATTGAATGGTTGTATTCCTGTCTTTTTAAATGCATTGATTGCATTTAATGGTAAAGCACTTTTTAAATACGCTCTATTAAAGAGACTGGCTACTTTAAATTGGGTCACCGTTTTACCTGGATTCTGTCGCAGCCATAATTGAATTTCTTGGCCTTAGTAAATTTGAAGTGGTCTAAAAAATCCTACGTCCAAGGGTTTGAACGTGATGAGAACAGTGAGCAGGAAAACAAAACATAATAATACCGTTTTTCTTTGCAAACTGGAGAGCTTCAAAACTTTTGTGACTACCATGGCCATCGAGTAATAACAAAACTTTGTTGGTTTTACAAGCCTTTGTATACCTTAAAAAATGTTGCAGCCACAAATAGAAAATATTCGGAAGTCATCCATCCTTTTTTCTTGAGCGAAGGCTATACTCCAGTAGGTGCATCGATCATAAGTTCATCTTTCTTTCTCTGTCGAGGAAAAATCAAAGCAGGAGGAACATATGTTCCAATTGCATTCATTGCACATACGACCGTAACATGTAGACCGCGCTCTGCACTACTTAAAGCACCAACTTGTTTGCGACCTTTACTAGCATAAATTTTCTGCGATTCCTTTTGCACAGTTGTCAAACTGGACTCGTCCATATTATAAATGTTTTCCGGTGAAAAGTGAAACTCGTCTAATATATTTGCTAATGCAGTAAAATAGGCACATATATTTGGTTTATTAAAAGCTTGAGCCCTTGCCAACGAAGTATTTTCTGGAGTGCGTAATGATATTCGGGGATTTCGCTTTAAAAAGCCTGTGACCCATTTCCAGCCTGCCATCCTGGTTTCCTTATTAAAATTGTGGCTAATATTGTTTCTTTCAGCTACTTCATATACAGGTTTTCGCAAATCTTTACTAGTAAGGCCAAAAAAACGAGTTTTCCATAGTAATAATATGGTCAGCAACTTCCTGTTCAATAGTAGTGGAGAATATTGGTCTTCGTCCTCCCAAATCACCTTTGATACTTCCTTGATGCTTAATAAAGCGCCTTTTCAAAGTCGTTTTTGGAACGTTAAATGTTTTTGCTGCCAGCTTAAACCCCATAGTTTTTTCTTGTATGCTTTTTAAAGCTTGTTGCATATTACTCTCGTTCCACTGTTGCCTTTTTTGTAGAGCCATCCCTGTAAAACATATTATGTTAATCATTAAGTAACACAAACTGAAAGTGTGTCCAAGTTTATTTTCTTTTTCCTATGATGGACCCCTAGTCCGTCATAGGTAACGACACAGGGATCCATCATAGGCAAATAGACAAGGCAGCAAATTTAATTCTGTTACTTTTGTTTTGACCATTTTAACCTAAAACAAAGTATAGGATTTGACAAAGAAAGTGTAGTCATTTTATACAAAACAAAAGCAACACCTAGCTTAACGTATGTTACCAGTAAAACGATACTTACCAAAAAAATTTATTAGATCAGCAACGCCAAATTTTAATTTTATTTCACAAATTTACTGTTATAACAGCCACGTGTCTGAAACTTTGCAAATACTAAACTACAAACTTCGTGCGCAAGCGGCAACCGGCGATGTGTATGTAACCGCGCGCTATTTAAAATTACAGCCGGGGGTCCGTCATAGGCAGGGGTCCAACATAGGCACACTTCCCCTAAATATTTAGCTAATCTGATGGTATTTTCCCATTATTATTTCTCATTTTATAGTTTGCGTAGGTGTTTGATGTTAAAGAGTTTAACAATCAAATTTGTCTGTCATCAAATTTTTCCTTGCTTGTATTCTTTTGTAACCTAGATCATTTTTTGAAGCCTCAAGTGTAGTATTGTTTATGTGTGGTCTTTATTGTCATCGTTGTAATTTCTTGTTGCTGTCAATGATACGTGGAATTACATTTTCTTCATCCCAGTCTTAACAGTTATACCGCTGAAAATCGGTCACCAGAGCCTTGATTGGCCCTAAGTGTGTCTCGCAGTTTTCTAAAGGCTGCCCACACTAAAGTAATTTGTCTTTGGATTTCGCATGTTTGGTTATCCCTGCCGATTCGTATTTTATGGCCCAAATACGTATATTTTTCCACCAGTTCTACCACTTTGTTTTGAATAGTTAAATGGTTATTGGGGACCATATTTGTCATAAACTTAGTTTTGGTCAAGGTCAATCTTAGGCCCACTTTCGAACATGCAAAGTCCAATTCGTTTAACATCTTTGGCTTCTCCTAAATTATGTGTGATAAAGACGGAGATGATTAAGCTTTTTGCCGTCTATTGTTACTTCTCTGTGGTCCCAAATCGTGTATATTAACAGTCATAGTGGCATTTGTGTAAATATTATAAATAAGTTTACTATACCTATGGTCAATCCTGCTGTCATTCATTTCTTCTATTAGGCTGTCTATTTTGTTCGTGTCGAACGCTTTATGAAAATCTAGGAAAGACAGGACAAGAAGTTTTTTGTATTCTATAGATTTTTCATTGAGTGTTTTTACTGTATGGAGGTGAACATTGGAACCATAATTTGAAAGGAATCCTGCCTGCTCTCTCGGTTGGTAGAAATCTAATTTTTTCCCCAATCTTGATGCCACTAACCTAGTGAAGAGCTTGTATATGTGGTTCAACAGGCTAATAGGCCTATAATTTTCTAGGTCCGTTCTATCTCCTTTTGTTATGCCAAAGGATGGTTATAGCATTGTTCCCTTCATTGGGCACCTCTCTTTGCTGCAAACATAGATTAAACAGTTTCCTTAATTTAATTAATACTATATCTCCTGCATTTACGATAGCTTCTATTACAATTCCATTCTTTCCTGCAGCTTTGTTATTTTTCATTTTTTTAATGCTTGTCGATTCTCATCTACATCTATAGAAAATTAATCTAAATTAATTAAACCATTTATACTTATTTTAGGCTCAAGAAGTTTCCGAAGCGAAACGATCAACGACTGCCAAATTGTTTGTGACTGTCAAACCCGTAGATGCTCATCCTCCAGAAATTGTATTATCGTCTGTGGAAGGTTTCGTCAAAGAAAATTCTCCCATTGGAAAAAAGGTATTAGATGGCGGAGGAAAACCGATACTGGTTAGCGTTCAAGACAAAGATTTTGTAAGTACCTGCACTATTTTTATTTTAATAGACGTAACACAATTTTTTTTAAACCAATCACTGTTTTAGGGGCCAGACGATCCTAAACCCAGCTATACTTTTGAACTAACGACACCTTATTTCGCCATCGATAAAGAAAACCATCTGGTAGTGAACGAAAATAACCTCGACAGGGATCCTCCAAATCCCGGAAAATTCAAGTTTCAAATAGTAGCAAGAGAAAAGCAAGGTATTGCTGCCAGCGCTCCTATGTCAGTGACAGTTCATCTACTTGATGTGAACGATAATCCTCCAGTACTACCTATAATTCCACCAGTTTCGGTACCTGCGGGAGATGTAAAAAGAATAGTTACAATGATTCAAGCTACAGATAACGATGAGGGTAAATAATTTTTATTACCGAAAATTAATGCAGTTAACAATAAGACTTATTTATTAATGATAATGAAGATTTATGTAACAACAATAGTGTTTAAATATTAAATTAGAGAATTCAGTGCTTATCACAACAGATATCTTGATAGAGTTTAAACATTGTATTGGAGAATGCAATGCTCAGTCACAACAGAAACCTTAGAAGCAAAATATAATTTACAAGTAAATGAGGCGCTTAAAATTAAACCACGCCACATCCACTTGCATATTTTTTTTAGCAAAGTGGCAAAAACTGTAACAACCAGACACACCACAATGGAAACTGACTTTTTTGACAAAAAAAATCCTAAATTTCACAGTTTTTTAGTAACAAATTATAAAATAGTCCAGGATATTACAATTTTCTGCTCACAATTATTTGTATATGCATGTTCCTCTTCTTAAGTGCCTTCTCTGTTGAGGTTGGCGATCAATATGGCAAATTTCTCACCGTTCTGGGCTTCATGAATTAATTCATTTCTCCAATTACTTTTCGGGTCGTTAGCCAATCCTGTGTGTCCTAGATATGACGTCTTTCTAATTTTGATAGTATTGACCAGATGAAGGCGTGTGTTCATTACTCGTAGTACTTCTTCATTCATAGTTCTGCTGGTCCAGCTTATTCTTAACATTCAGCGGTACATCCACATTTCAAATGAATTTAATTTGTTGACATCCTACTGTTTTAATGTCCAGGTCTCACAGCCATTTAGTAGTAGAGACCACACATAACACTTTATTATTCTCAATCATATTGAGTCTGATAGCTTGGGGTTACAGAGCATTTTACGCATTTTCATGAAACCAGATCTTGCTATTTCAATGCGTCTTCTAATTTCTTTTTGAGTGGTCTACTTGACTATTTAGCTCTCTGTCCAGGTATATGAAGCTTTGAGAACTCTGAAGGGTGATACCGTTTTTGTGGAAAACCGAGTTTTGGTTTTGGAAAAGTTAATGTCTAAGCCCAGCCTATGACTTTTTTCTGATGATATGTTCATCAATATTTTTAGTTGGTCTTCTGTTTCTGCTAATACTACGGTGTCATCGGCATATCTTTATATTGTTAATGATGAATTCCATTGACTCTGGCACCTTCAGGGTGATCTTCAAGAGATATATTCATGCATTTGCTTAAAATTTTGACAGTATTTAGAAAATAGCTCAAAAGTCAGTGGTTACGACTCCAAACTTAAGGGTGAAAAAAATTTATCAAAAAAAAACATGGTAGATGCTAGAATAGTGAAATCAGGTCAGGACTGAAGAGAGAGAGAGAGAGAGAGAGAGAGAGAGAGAGTGAGAGAAGAGAGATCTAAATCTTGAAACAAGTAAAATATGATTTAGATTTTTTTAGATTTAGAATTAACACTAAGTTTTCCAATTAAAATATATAAATATACAATGTTTTAATGTTTTAGGAGAGAATGCAGCCATTAGATACTCGATATATCACGTCTCCAATAACGGTAACAACAAATTTACGATAAATCCCATAACTGGTCTTATAGAAACGGTTGGAAAGCTAAACGCTGGCGAGCAGTACAGTCTGACTGTTCAAGCAACAGATTCAGGTGGACTATACAGTCAAGCTATTGTCGAAGTTACTATCAGTCCTGGTCCGAATACCCAAGCTCCCGTTTTTGAGCAATCTGTCTACGACATCGAAGTTAGTGAGGGAGCTACAATTAATTCCACTATTGCTACGCTTTTGGTAAGTAATATATACACTTTTATTATTTTTTTTATTAGTATAATTAGACGATAGAATAACAGGAAACCAACTAGTTTTAAATTAGGCTTTAGCACTAGAGAGGTATCATTTACCATACGAACACTCATATAATGGTGTCGATATGCCAATTGTCATGTATACATGTATCTGCCATCCGCCAAAATGTATATCCGACCTCAAAAACCTCTGGATACCAAATTCCAATAGAATTAAATATATTTAATATACATATATTACCGGATTTCACCAGATGGAACCACAACCAATCAAATCGACCATGTGCTTATAGACAAAAGGGCAGCCAGTAGTTCTCAGATGTGAGAACACGACGAGGAGCATGCTGTGGATCAGACAATCTTTTACTCCAAACCAAATTTAGATGCAGAGTTAACAAAGAAATAAACGAAAGACAACAAAGAACAAACAAACTGGACCTGGAAAAACTGAAGATTCAGGAATGTAAAGAGAAGTTTGGAGAAGAAGTCGCAAATGAGTTAAGGACGCTAGAACTACACTCCATAGAGGACAAATGGAATAATATCAAAACAGCAGTAATGACAGCGGCAGCGTCCACCCTGGGAACAAGAAAAAGGCGATTAGTAATCTGAGAATTACGAGAGTTATTTCGGATTAGTAATCAGCGACCTCAAAAACCGTCGGATAGCAAATTTCATGCAAATCAAACAATGCTTTCATATTTTGGCCATTCTTTGGGATTTTGGACCACTACACTGTGCAAGTGCTGAACGTGAGCCTTCGAAACCACATAACAAACCAACAAAGCAGGCAAAGATCAGCAGTTCAAGATGTCATCGAAAGAACCACGACGCTTAAGTGAACTGGGCAGGGCACTTAGCCAGAACACAAGATGGACGGTGGACAAGACGTATTATGGAATGGAGGTCCAGAAACTATAAAAGAAGCCGAAGACTACCACCGACTAGATGGACCGATGATATAAAACGTGTAGCAGCAAACTGGCTACAAGCGGCTCAGTGTAGAGAACACTGAAAAGAACTAGATCTAGCAGTGTGACGCGATTAGCTGATTGATGATGATGATAATGATGGCACTATGCAATGGTTTGAATGCAGTACTTCAAAAGTGTTAAAGGATATGATGTTTCAACCTTCGATAGAAGATGAAACTTGAAGAAGAAGAATCTTTTAATTCAATACTTTTAAATAAAATATCTTGATCACTCTATAAATAAAAAAACTTTTTTATATTTGTTTTACTACTAATTTTCAGGCTGTGGACCCGGAAGGCGATCCAGTGACATACTCAATAGTTTCTGGGAACGATTTAAGACAGTTTGCTATAGGTGCTAAAAGTGGTGTTATAACAATTATTAGACAGTTAGATCGAGAAGATTTAAACACGTATCAACTGGTAAGTAGCAAAATAGTATTTAAATAGATTTCGCTAAGGTTTCGAAATCAATAAACAGGCATTAATAAGTGCTCACGGATTACGATTTCGCCAAAAATGCCAGAATATTGTTTTACTTTGTAATGTATATACACTATATACTTATATATGAAACTTATGAAAATGTTCACAGTGAGTTTTGGCTATAATGTGTCAGCAACTGGCACAGATGATATATCAGGATAAGGGGAAAGGAAGATGGTTAAAATAGGAATGCTGGAAATAGTTTGGAAAAGAACATTTTCCGCAAATCGCCAGGAAATTTTGACATTCCTGTCAAAATTTCTTGAAGAAAAAGTCAGGACTTCCTTACTGTAAGGAAATGTCATTTCCTTACTGTAAGGAAATGATATTTCCGTACAGTTGTTAGTGTTCTACATAAGTTTGACAATTCAACCTCAATACGTTTCCATAGTAACCCAATAATTTTATTAGGAATTTCAAAGCACCATTTTATTTGGGAATAAAATTATCGCGTTTTTTTTTAAATCAATCAATATCTGTCGAATTTTAAACGATTTGCGGAAAAATAGTATGTTTACCTCGTAGGAAAAAGCCACATTCCTGGACTCTGTGTTGCTAAGTTTCGGCTTGCGCCTCGACTTAGCAATCTTCACAGTCGTCCAGGAATGTTAAGCTTTTCCTACCCGGTAAACAATGTACTATTTCCGCAAATCGCCAGGAAATTTTGACATTCCTGTCAAAATTTCTTGAAGAAAAAGTCAGGACTTCCTTACTGTAAGGAAATGTCATTTCCTTACTGTAAGGAAATGATATTTCCGTACAGTTGTTAGTGTTCTACATAAATGATAGAAAACACATTGCTTATAAGGAATAATAACTTATTGCAAGGGTTGACTTCAGCATTGAATAATTGGCCCATAATGTTGAAGATTTCATCTTTAAACAAAGGTCTAGGAAGTATGCCATTACAACATTTTCTGAGAAAGAACTCGTATTTTTACTCATGCGATAATCCATAAAACGTCTGTATGCATTTTCGTACTTTTCTCTTGATTTCTTTGGCAATAATTCTAATGAAGCAGTATTCACTGCCTCAACCAGCTCTGGAGGAGTCCCAGGAATGGAAATTTCATCATCACTTATCATTTTACTTTCGAGAACACCAGCAATTAAATTTATAAGCGTCAAGTTTGACAATTCAACCTCAATACGTTTCCATAGTAACCCAAGTAATTTTATTAGGAATTTCAAAGCACCATTTATTTGGGAATAAAATTATCGCGTTTTTTTTTAAATCAATCAATATCTGTCGAATTTTAAACGATTTGCGGAAAAATAGTATGTTTACCTCGTAGGAAAAGCCACATTCCTGGACTCTGTGTTGCTAAGTCTCGGCTTGCGCCTCGACTTAGCAATCTTCACAGTCGTCCAGGAATGTTAAGCTTTTCCTACCCGGTAAACAATGTACTATTATTACGGAAATTAGGCTTTCAAGGAAGATTAGTGGAAAGATAAAACATAGTGTGGCATAGCCATATATGTAAGCAGGATTGCGGAAAATAAATCTCAAAAGAATTTATGAGCAATGGAGATCAAAATCAATGAGAAATCAGTGACCAACAAAAACTTGGCCTCGGGAAATATATGAGATAAAAGAAATGACACAACAATTACGAAAAAGTTGAACATTTATAGAAAAAATGTTTTAAACAGTGTAAGGTAATTGCCTTTTTTTTATATTGTACACTACTTTTTTAGATATTATTATTTTTGTTATTTAAATATTCTAGGTTATAAAAGCTGAAGACGCTGGAAAATTAGCAAGCACTGTACGTGTTAACATCAAAGTAACAGATATCAACGACAAAAATCCGGAATTCGTCGGAGATCCTTACCATTTTAAAGTCAAAGAAGGTTTAAATAAAACAACTGTCGGTTTTGTGAAAGCTACAGATGCAGATGAAGGTGTTAACGCTAAAGTCACCTATTTCATTCCCTCCGATTTGCCCTTCGACATAGATAGTAATAGTGGAGAGATCACTACTAACACACCTTTGGATTATGAAAAACAAAAGGTAAGTAGAGGTTTTAATATCGTTTATTAAAAGAGTTATAGTTTATAAATCACAAAAAGAACCTAAGTTTTGTTTTTCCCGTATATTTATCTTTCGACATTTGTACACATGGTGTTCCCCAAAATAGTGCGTTCCTTAAAGGTATAGGTAGAAGGCACCTTAGAGTAAAAATGTCTTATAACTCTAAATGCAACTGTTTGGACAAAAAAAACAAGAAAATCAAATTTTATTCAAGGTAAAACGAGAGCTCAAAACTTTAAAACCGAATACTCCCGCCCTTTCACTTGCGAAGAAGTCACGATAGCTCTCAAGGATGTAAAGTCAGCTAAAGCCCCAGGTTTTGACAATATTCATCCCGAATTCTTAATTAAGAGTGGCAAATATGCGAGAGAATGGATGACCCACTTTTTCGCAGATATTATGAAGACCGATACCATACCACAGGAACTTACACACTCAAAGATAATTGCCATATTAAAACCAGGGAAACCAAATGATAACAACCCTAAGAACTACAGACCAGTAGCTCTACTATCGGCAACGTTCAAGCTACTAGAACTAGAACCAGAATTAGTCCAAAGCTACTTGAATCAATACCCGTTGATCAGGCAGGTTTCCAACCAAAAAGAAGCTGTGCAGATCAGGTTCTTTCACTCGCCACATTCATTGAGGCAGGGTTCCAGAGAAAACTTAAAACTGCAGGCGCATTCATAGACCTAACAGCGACCCATGATACAGTCTGGAGAGAAGGAATGATATACAAGCTTCTCCGTACAATCTGCTGTAAATCCACCGCTCGAATAATCAACATCATGCTAGCGGACCGAAAGATTAAAGTAGTCATGGGAACCGACATCAGTACCCCAAGAAAACTGAAGAATGGACTGCCTTCAGGGATCTGTCCTAGCTCCTCTTCTTTTTAGCCTGTACATCGCTGATATACCAGAAACCAGATCAAGGAAGTTTGGTTACGCGGACGATTGGGTCCTTGGCAACAAGGTTAAGTCATTTGAACAAACAGAAGAAATCCTTCACGGCGGACTTACACATAGTGGGAAAGTATTTCCTAAATGGAGGCTCCAACCAAACGCTACCAAAAAAGAGGTTTCCAATTTTCACCTAAATAACACGCTTGCAGGAAGAACAGTCAACTTCCAATTCGAAAACACTACACTCGCCTACAATGAAACACCAAACTACCTTGGGGTGACTCTTGACAGAACTCTATCTTTCAAGAAACATCTGTCAAAAACAGCGAAAAAACTGAAATCCAGAAACACCATAATCCAGAAGCTGTGCGGCACAACATGGGAGCATCGGCTTCCACCTTGCGATCATCTGCCGTGGGCCTTGTCTTCTCAACCGCAGAATACTGCTCTTTAGCCTGGCTTAACAGTCCACAATACAAAGTAGATGCCCAATTGAACAATACAATGAGAATGATTGCTGGTATTATCAAATCCACCCCTACGTAGTGGCTCCCAGTACTGAGCCACATTATTTAATATAATATAATACGTAATAATATAATACGTAATTGGCTCCACTAGTACTGAGGCCACATCGATGACCAGACAATAAAAACAGCACAGACTGCTGTGGAAAATGAGTTCAACTTAACGACCACTTGGACTCTAGAATAGATGAAACAACAAAATAGCAGTTTACCCTGCCTCACACAAAAACCACTAGGTTTTGACTTACCACGCAACACATGGACTATGCTGAATCAGAACCCAACACGGCAGATGCGGTTACATGATGCACAAATGGGGTAAACGACCATCCCCACTCTGTGACTGCGAACAACCTCAAACCATCTGTCACATAAGTACGAAAATCTAAACGTAGGCAGACAACTTTAGTAAACAGATAGTTTGGAATAATCATGTTTAGTTTCACCGCGAAAATGTTTTCGATTCGTGAGTGCCATGATATGTTGATTATTTATGGAGAAGCGCAGTGTAACAGTAATTTAGCTGTCCAAATTTATGTGCATTGGTATCCCGAAAGGCGAACTTCTAATGCTCGAACTTTTATTGATATTTCTCAAATATTATTAGAAACGGGTTCGAAAAACAAAAATAGGGGAAGAACAAGAAGTATCTGTCGTTAACGTTGTTCATAGAACATTTCGGGAACATCATGCATTCATTTTTATTAGTAAATAAAATGAGATAACCTACTTGTTAATTATTTTCGATATTTGATAACTTAATGACGGTAAAAACGTATTTATTAATTTTATTTAATACTTTTAGGATTACCAATTTGTAGTAACTGCTAAAGACGGTGCCACAGATCCCAGAATTGCAACTGCCACAGTTTTCTGTGGAAGTACTTGATGTTGAAGATGAAGTTCCAATTTTTGAAGTTCCTGTTTACGAAGCTACTGTTCCCGAAAATATGCCAGACTATTATGTTACAACGGTTAAGGTATATATCAACATGCAAAATTAACACAATTTGACAAAGTGACGCTGATTATGAAAGACTTTTCTTACCGTATTTCGCCTCTCAACGATTCACTTTCATTATAAACGATTTTCAAATTATTTAATGCTCGTCCAAACTTATAATATACTAATTGATGGATTCGACCGTTACTTGATGAAATTAATTTATGTAACAATAAAACACTGAAAACTTTGTTTTCAACTTCCACAAAATTTATTTAACTATTATCACTACAGCTGTTTCGGCTGATGCCTTTCTCAAGTAATCTATTTTTGGCATGCGTTTACACTTTATAGTCTTTAATGAAATAGGTTGAGGAGGGGAGAACTGTTTGTCTCAAGTGGGTCATTCAGAATTATATCTGTGTTTTTTAATTTGTTGATTTCCATAGATTTCTAACAAAGATAGCTTAAGGCTATATTTTGATGTGAAGAATTTTAAATTTGTCATTAAAAGAATGATTATGATCTAGAAGGTGGAGTGCGTATGTCGAATCTGTTTTTCTATTATTGAAAGCCCTTTTATGTTCTGCTATTCGTTTATTCAAGTTCCTACCAGTTTGACCGATGTAAGTTTTGGGCAGTCGCCACATTGAAGTTTGTACACGCCACTATTTAAGTGTTTTTTATTTTGGCTCTTGTTATTTTTAATATATTTTCCTAGGTTGTTATTTGTGCGAAAAGCTGGTGTTATTCCTTTCTTTTTTATGTGTTTGGCTATTTTTGTTGTTATTTGGCCTGTATATGTAATCGAGCAGAAGGTACTGGATTTTTTCTCATGGTGGTGGAAATACTAATTTCAGGGCTTTCTCCATATTTCATAAACCTACACACACATACTGACACGACTATACACAATTCATCATCCCATCCAACACAACATAAACTGGCAGCTTATCATAGTATGTTACATAGATTAACGAAATTCCGATGTCAAAATACAACTTTGAGACAGAATTAAATATAATTAAGCAAATAGCAGTAAACAACGGATACAACGAACAAACAATTAATAAAATGTTAAATCAAAAACTACACAAGAAAGCCCTGAATTAGTATTTCCACCACCAGAGAAAAAATCAGTACCTTCTGCTCGATTACGTATATACAGGCAAAATAACAACAAAAATATCCAAACCCATAAAAAAAGAAAGGAATAACACCAGCTTTCCGAACAAATAACAACCTAGGCAAATATATTAAAAATAACAAGAGCCAAAATAAAAAACACCTAGAAGTGGCGTATACAAACTTCAATTGTGGCGACTGCCCAAAAAACTTACATCGGTCAAACTGGTAGGAACTTTAAATAAACGAATAGCAGAACATAAAGGGCTTTCAATAATAGAAAAACAGATTCGACATACGCACTTCACCTTCTAGATCATAATCATTCTTTTATTGACAAATTTAAAATTCTTCACATTATAATAAAAGGCCCTTAAAGCTATCTTTGTTAGAATCTATGGAAATCAACAAATTAAAAAACACAGATATAATTCTGAATGACCAACTTGAGACAAACAGGTCTCCTCTTCAACCTATTTCATTAGAGATATAAATTGTAAACGCATGCCAAAATAATCACTGAGAAAGCAATCACCGAAACAGCTGTAGATGATAAGAGTTAAAATAAATTTTGTGGAAGGTTGAAAACAAAGTTTTCAGTGTTTTATTGTTACATTATATATATATATTATATATATATATATATATATATATATATATATATATATATATATATTTACGGCATAAGTGGAGTCCGCCCCATGTTAAAATTCAGGTTTAAGTGAGCTCCGTGGTCAAGTGGACACCGATATACGGAGCTTACTTGACCATTCCCTAATATTGGTTCTGTCGATTCGTTAACATACAGCGGTTCATAATTTTTAAAAAAAATTTGGAGCCCATAAATACCCCTGTATGATAAATGTATATCGTGTAGTTCACGTGTATATATTATAGGGGTCGTTCAGGTCTTTTTCACTGTATATTTAACAATTAGTTTATCGGTTTAAGTAAGCTCTGAGAGTTTGGCAACCGTGCGATTATAGCGTATATTTTCAAAGTTTACCCTGAACGGTTTATATGAGCTCCTTATTTTTATCTACTTTTTGTAGGCCGTGTAATGCCATACGCATTACACTGTATAATCAAGGATATCTTATTACCGGGTATTACTACGTGCTAATAGGTACAAGGTACAGGTTATTTAAAAAACAGGTATATAGATACAAAATGACTTGGGCTTATTATTTAATGGAATGGTCACTTGCATACAAAATTTTATTTTCTCTGCATTTTTAAAAAACGTTATTTTTTTACTTAATATAGTTTTATTAGTTCAATGTTGAAGTCTACGTTTTTTTAATTGTAGAAGTTTCGTACTATTTATATTTTTTTTACGTGAATTTGTCTTTGTACGTTTTATAGAAGCATCCCAATAATAAAAACTGTTTTTATTTCATCCAATGTTCTGCGATATCTTGTATAAAGTTTTTTTATTATTTTAGTTTTGGTCTTATTTGTACTACATAATATGATATCTTGATAGAAGGTCATCTCAAAATAAATATGGTTAAGTGATATAGATATATATAATAGATATTTTTTGTGTTAAAAATGTGTAGTAGTGTACACAAAAAGAAATAATGGTTAATTTGTAGGGCGAAAGGACGTTCGCCTCATTTTTAGCTGACAAATATTATTTCTGACCTCAATTTACCTTTTAGTTTTAAACAATGATCTGTGAATAATCACGTGCAATACAAGCTACTTTCAAGGAATTTATAGATAGTCCTACAGTTCAACGATTTCATGACATTATTGGGAGGTTTAGTTTTGTGAAAGCGTTTGTGTTAGGGAAATTGAAGGAGCACATATGAGTTTTTCAGGCGTTTTGGCTGAAAATTGATTCATAGTTTATTTTTATTGGGCAATAATAGGTGTATCGTCTGTTTATTAGAAGTCCTAGTATCTATAGGTATGGGTTAATCGTTTGTTTATACAATGTAAGTGTCTTTATGCTATCCCAAGCGAGACCGTTCTTCATCTGCTATTCTTACCATCGAATGATACGAAAAATATTCTATTGTGTAGGCATACACAGATAATTTTATCGTTTGTTATCTACGGGGATATCATATAGTTTTTCGAGAAATATCCTGTAATTTAAGGTGTGGTAAGCGGAATTTATATTGAAAAATACCACCCCTGATACCCGATATTTTTCGTACCCGTCTTTGCTGTCTTGAGTAAGATTTAGTATTTGTAAAGTACTCGATCTTCCCTATCTATAGCCACTTTCGTCTTATAATTTGAGTTTTTTTTTCTAATATCGGTGAAATCATATCATCGTCTCTTGTGCAAAAGTATTTTAAATAGCTGACAAAACAAAGATATTGGCCAATAGTTTTTGTGGTCGTTGGAGTTTTTGCCAGGTTTAAGCAAGGTAACAACTTTGGCTCGTCTCTAGACTTAGCGTATCTGCATAATTTGAATACAGTTGCTCATCATCCGGATAAGCCATTGTAGTGTTTTGGTCCAGATTTCGTAATTAACTGTGTGTTCAGATCCTCAATGCCGGTAGTTGTATTATTTTTCATTTAATATGTAGATGGTGGATCCAATCAAGCTGACTGTTTTTGTCCTTTCTTATTTTAAGTTTTTCTTTGCTTCTTTTACGACAGAGATAGCAGATCTATATCTATAATAAGGTTTTCAGCGATCAGCTTAACACCAAATATCCTAGGTTAGGCCCTATATGTGTTTCCTGCACTAGAAATACGCCAGATTCATGTTTAGCGCATATGTCTGATAAGTTTAAGTCAACTAAAGTTTCTTTATCTCTAGATATACCCTTAACATATATAGGCATATGTTATTAGAATAGTTGGTAGTAAAAAGAACAAATTTGACAAAATAAATAAGTTTGTGATATCGGTTGCAACTCATACATGTACAGATAGATAATAAGTAAGTATAGATAATAAGAAAATAAACAGCTAAAATAAGTGTAAAAAATTCCAACTACATACACCGGTGCATTGTTTAAATGATGGGTTTATCACAGATATCAAAGGTTACATTTTAATTCAAGGTTCCATTTACATATTTTCAACATGAAAAGACATATTTATGCTTTTTTTTTTTAAATCTATTATTTTCTCTTTCTTGCAGCTATTTTAATGTTCTTTATTAATTGTCTTGTTTCTGCAGTAGGAATATATGTGTACCATGATAGGTTGTTGTTTTTTTTAATGTAATTACTCTTTGCTTTTGCCAATTGCTTTCTTACTTCCTCAGCGATTGGTCTTTTTTTCTCATCAATAATCTCATCCTCTCTCGATATAGCTATTCTAAGATATTTAGATTTCACTATATGCTCATATCATTTGGTTTTTATCTCAAATTTGGACCTATGATGAAATTTTTATATCTTAAATCTAATGCTTTCATATTAAACTGGAATAAAATACTTAAATACTAGCCAAATTGACATTAATTTTATAGTTTCCATTTTATTAGTACTGATGGTACATGATTAGCATCTGTTGGTACTATATATCAATTTCAACACATGGAAGTGAGAGCAATCTCCTGTTAGTAATTCCAGTGTCAATTATGACAAAACCCTTGATTGGATATTATAGAGTATCTAATATTTCAATCAACGGTATTTCAGAGTGATTTTTTTTAAATTTTTATATATATTTGCAAAATGGAGAAGGAAGTTCAGTACAGAGCCGGTTAAACAGCTAATCTGTCAATTTAGAAGTAAGAACAAGTACCAACTTGCTAAAAAGCACACCCATACACAAAAGGGATGATAAAATTTACTGCACAAACTGTAGTAGTATGAGTTACATATAAGCTATATATGAATAATTAGGATATACAGTATTTTTTCTAATACACCTGGAACGATTGCGTAAATAGGTGAACTGTCAAACAGAAGACTATTAGTGTAGAATTAGAAAA